CCCAAAAGGAAAAAACTTACATACAAACCAATTGAAAATTTTCCAGAACTGCCTCAAATTAAAAAAGATTGCCCAAAGTTTGTTCTAATCTCTGCAACAGATTCGAACAAAACACTTTCCAAATACTCTTGCTTCGCTGTGCATAAAACCTTAGAATCCATAAGTAAGGAAATTTTATCTATCACCGAATTACGTGWKGGTAATCTACTCCTACTTGTTAAAAATCGGGTGATCGCTGAAGAATTTCTTACAACAAAGAAATTAAATGGAATTTGCGATATTAAAGTTAAGTTACACAATTTGAACTGCTCTAAAGGTACAATTTACGCTCCATTTCTAAATGACATTGCAGAAGATGAAATTGTTGACAATTTAAAAGATCAGAGAGTTACTGCTGTGTATAAATTAACTAAAAATCTAGAAGGCAAACAAAGACMTAGTGGTGTGATACTCCTTTGATTTGACCTCTACAAACTTCCAGAAAAAATCGAAGTCTCATGGCGCACAATACGGATTAGAGCACATTTCYCGAACCCCATGAGGTGTAAAAGTTGCCAGCTTCTAGGACACACAACGAAACGTTGTAACAACAACCCTGCCTGCGATATGTGCAATTTCCCTCCTCATCACCCCTCGCCATGCAACCGCACATTTTGTACAAACTGCTCAGGCGATCATCCTTCCTCTTCACGCTCTTGTCCTAAATACCTACAATCCAAAAGTATTCTAAAAATGAAAACAGAAAACAAATGCTCAATGCTCAATGCGAGAAGCACTAAGGCTATACAAAAAACAATTACCCCCGACCCCCGCAAACACTTCTTTCGCTTCTGTTACAACAGAAAATACAAACAGGAAAATAACAAACGTGATTTCTCACCAATCATCATCTCCTCCCCTACCACTCTCCTCAGACACTGTTCTAAAATCCCCAACAGCTTATCCTCTTCCACAACAAAAGCAAACCTYGATAGCAAACAAAAACAATTTCGTAATTGATAACCATCTAAACTCACCAAATGGAACTACAAAATAAACTACAAAAAACATTCTATAACCTAACGCTTACCCAAACAAAAACAAACCCAACCAAAATAAGCATACCACTCATTCCTAAAATATCCACAATCTCTCTACAGACAATACCAATATTCTCGCTCCACCTACTTATTCAGAATATATCTCTCCTCATATAATTACCACATCTGACCATGAAGATCAATAACTCTCATTTTCCCCMCTCTCCTTTTTCTCAATCAATCACATTACCAATAAATSATCAAATTTCTCCAATGGAATATGAACGGATTCTACAACAACTACACCGACCTAGAATTACTCGTAAAAGAACAATCCCCTAGTGTTATNATCAAATTTCTCCAATGGAATATGAACGGATTCTACAACAACTACACCGACCTAGAATTACTCGTAAAAGAACAATCCCCTAGTGTTATATCACTACATGAGACACACCTTTCATTTAATTCCGCAACTGCTGTACCCAAACAATACGCTGCCTATTTCTCCAACTTAACACAAAATCATACTAATAAACAAGGTGTTGCTACTTTAATAAAAAAAAAGACTTCCCACACAAACTTCTTCCAACAAGTTTTAATATTTCTACAATAGCAATAGATATATTTATTGGATTTAAATTAACCATTCTACCAATTTACATTCCACCACACCAAAATTTAATATCAAAGAACTACGCGATATAATCGGTCCTATCCAAACACTCGTTGTAAGTACGATTTTGGCGATTTCAATGCCTGGAGCCCTCTTTGGGGTTCCATATGAACTAACCAAAGAGGTAAAATCATAGAAGACCTTTTATTAGCAGAAAACTTGACAATTTTAAATGACGGTTCTCCTACGCATTTTTCTACACATAATTCGTTYACGAATGTAGATCTGGTCATTTGTTCTTCTGATATTGCGATCATTTCCCCATTATAACACACTTATCAACCCCTTTATCCAGAAAAGGGTCGACGAAGCCAAAATTTCTATTGGACAAGGCAAATTGGTCCAAATTTCAACAACTCTGCGAAAACTTGTCTGCTGCAAGTCCCATAGACGATAATATTAATAAAGAAACAGCTACAATTACCAAAATAATCAAAACTTCTGCTCACCTATCTATCCCCCAAACGGGTAAGAAAATCTTCAAAAATCATGTACCTTATTGGTCTACGGAGTTATCTAAACTTAGAGAAGAAAAACAATCACTATGGTTAATTTACAAAAGATCTCGCTCTATTGATAATCTAATAAAATACAAAAAAGCCAATGCAGTGTTTAAATATTAAAGAAGCTATCACTCCGTTAACAAATCCCAAAAAATTATGGGCCGACATTAAAATGCTCTCAGGTTCCTATACGCACGTGAAGCTTAATTGTATAAACACTCCATCTATTACCAAATCAAACATAAYCATCGCAGAATTCGATTTCACTTTATCTTCAATGTCAGGCAAGACTCCCGGTGCAGATAGGATTTCATATCCCATGCTAAAAAACTGTCCTTTAAGTCTCAAAAATAGAATTATTAAATTATACAACAATATTTTATGTCAAGGTGTCTACCCTCAAAGCTGGAAA